TTCCAAACAAGGATTCCATTGTTCAATTTTCGGATCGGGAACGTATTGGGCATCGTCAATTATAACTTCTCTTTTCGTGGATGAGAAGAGTCCAAATTCAGGAAAAACCAGTAAGTCGACATTCTGGAATTAAGTATGCTTTAAGTATCAAACAAAAAAAGTAATTATCACATTCTGATTGCACTTACGTGTTCACCAGCTGTCGTTGCAACTTTTTCATAAGCGGCCAAATTTTTTTCAATGTATTCCTTAATCGGATCTGTTTTGTAACCTTTCCTCACGTGTTCGTATACAGCAGCTGTGTAGTAGTCTGGGTCATCAACATCCTGACATTTGACCGCAACTATCAGTAACAGTCCAAACACTACGGAGAACATTGTAAGACTGAAGAACCTGTATGGGAATACATAGATATGATATTTGAAATTTGTAATTTATATTATTAATGGCAGTTTAATAAACAGTGCAGTTGCCTAAGCATCAGGAATCAATTAGAATAATCGAGAAAGAAGAAATAAACAAGAGATACAGAAATTATATATTTTTGTATTCGATGAATTATTCATTTTCTTACACTTAATTAATAATGTTTAAATAAATATTATTTACTGTAAAGTAATTTTTAATTAGTGATTCTGTTGTATCGATACGTTTCGTTTCTGGAGAAAAAAAATTTAAAGCGCGATTTCTCAAGTAGTCTCGAGAANTTCGGACGTGTCGCGCGGAATCGACACATAGCTACAATTTATTTTGTGTTATTTATTTCTGTGTTTGTTATATCTACGGAGACTCGAGAGACTCTGTGTGGTGATTTCTTGTAATCGTGAACGAATCAAAAGACGAGATAAGATTAACGAGAACATTTATTAACTTACATACATCCGACTTAGATTTTACACAAATTGCGAAATTATACCCCGACTTACGCGGTTATCGCTCGGTCCAACCTATCGCGTAAGTTCGGGGTATTACTGTATATTGTTTAGAGTATTAGTACATATACAAAAGTATATATGAAAATATATATTTTTATTGTGTAGTAGGGTATCTTATACTAGAATGACTTATTATAGTAGTTATTCCTTTTATGGTATTTTAAAATTTAGAAAATTAATAAGATTTAAAATTAATAATTTATTATTTAACTTTTTTTCTTAATATCAATATATTAATAAAGTAAAGCAATATACTAAATTTTAAGAAATGAAAGTTCACAAAGGATTGAAGAAAGGAAATAAAAATGGATTAAAAATGTGAGAAATATTAAATTTTCATTTAGTTAAAAAACAAACTACATCCCATAATTTGATGTTTGTGAAAGGTAAATCTAGTAGAGGACATTTCAAAAATTATAAATCGAAACTCGGCTATTTAGTTTAAAATATAGAATTTTATTTATATTCGTAAATTAAAGAAATCTTTCATACATTAAGTCGAATATTATAAAATTGCTCGTACTGCTCCATTTAATTACACATGATAATATTTGTCATAAGTTCGAAGCATCTACATTTAGGGCTAAACTGGCTAACTAGCAATTCGTGCAAATGTCAGAGAGGCCGATGCTCTCTACGACCGGATAACATGGTGCAGATGTTATACAAGACATGCATAACTTTAGAAACGTCTTTTATATATACACTTTAAACATAAATTTAACGGAAGACGTTAATGGTAATTATAATATCTGTTAGTGGGAAGAATAAGGAAAAATAACTCTTANTCGTACTGCTCCATTTAATTACACATGATAATATTTGTCATAAGTTCGAAGCATCTACATTTAGGGCTAAACTGGCTAACTAGCAATTCGTGCAAATGTCAGAGAGGCCGATGCTCTCTACGACCGGATAACATGGTGCAGATGTTATACAAGACATGCATAACTTTAGAAACGTCTTTTATATATACACTTTAAACATAAATTTAACGGAAGACGTTAATGGTAATTATAATATCTGTTAGTGGGAAGAATAAGGAAAAATAACTCTTATACTTCTAAACTACGGGTATTATATTCAGACTAATCTAGTTACAAAGTTAGTACAGGTATTCTTTTTCTTTAATTAATGAAGCTTTTTAAGAAGACCGATTTTAATAAGATGTTAGGGCTGAATTTTGTTTCCAGTCTGGCTCTGTCTACAGTTATACTCCTTTATAATACAGAGATAACTGAATTACTAGGCAATAGAATATAAATGCATATCCTAATCATTGATGGAAATAGAACTAGATAGAAACTGGCTGCCTATAAATTACAATGTTTCGATTACTTGACGTTAACAAAAGAATACTGTTTAATATTTAAATTTAATCTAACTGACTGGATAATTTTTAATATGAACTTATTAAAATTTAGAAGTACTTGATTAAAGAAAATATNTTCTTCCAATGCGGCCCAGAGAAACAAAAAGGTTGGACACCCGTGGTTTAGAGCATTATTAAATATACAAAAGAATAAATAGTACATGTATCTTATACTATAATGACTTATAATAGTTTTTCATTTTACGGTATTTAATAATTTTAAAATATTTTAACCTTTTTAATTATCTTTAAAACAAATATAGGCAATTGTCAATTTTTCAAATACGAATTTTGACCAGATCTCGAATACACCGAATACTTAGTGAACATAATTACCTTTTATAGGTCTAACTTATTTAGCTAATAATTTATTTAATACTTATTATTTAACTTCTTTTCTTAATTTCAATATATTAATAAAGTAAAGCAGTTTACTAAATTTTAAGAAATGAAATTTTACAATGGATTGAAAAAAGGAAGTAAAAATGGATTAAAAATGTGAGAAATATTAAATTTTCATTTAGTTAAAATAAAAAACAAACTACATCCCATAATTTGATGTTTGTGAAAGGTAAATCTAGTAGAGGACATTTCAAAAATTATAAATCGAAACTCGGCTATTTAGTTTAAAATATAGAACTTTTTTTTCTATATTCTTAAATTAAAGAAAACTTCATACATTAAGATGAATATTATAAAATTATCAGCTCGAAATGCTCCATTTAATTACACGTGATAATATTTGTCATAAGTTCGAAACATCTACATTTAGGGCTTGGCTAACTGGCAATTTCTGCAAATGTCATGGAATGTCATGTTAACCGGTCGTGGAAAGGCCGATGCTCTTCATCACCTGTTAACATAGTGCTGATGTCATACAAGACATGTATAATTTTAGAAACGTCTTTTATATATACATTTTAAGCATAATTTTAACGGAAGACGTTAATGGTAATTATGATATCTGTTACTAGGAAGAATAAGAATCAATAACTCTTATACTTCTATACTATCAGTATTACATTCAAACTAATCTAATTACTAAGTGAGTATTAATATTTTTTAATTAATTAATGAAGCTTTTTTGGAAGGTCGATTTTAATAAGATGTTAGGGCTAAATTTTGTTTCCAGTCTGGCCCTGTCTACAGTTATACCCCTTTATAATAGAGGGATAACCGAATTACTAGACAATAGAATACAAATGGCATATCCTAATTGTGAGACTCAGCCGTGTTTATTAACCTACAGCCTGACCTAAATCGTTAACAATACTATTTTATCGAGTAAGTATCAAATTTCACACCAGGGAGTTAATTACTCAGCAAGTTCTCAGTCGCGAAAAGACGCTTTCACATAACCGAACTTTTTTTCGTGCCTCCTATTTGGATTAATTGCTACAGAACCTATTAAGTGCCTCCTATTGGGATTAATTGCAACGGGATTTATTAAGTGCCCAAAGGAACTTGAATAAACGTCGTCGCCAAAACTTTGGATTAAGTCAAGAACTTGATTATCAATTATGAGCAATCCAAGAATCAATCAAACTCCAGGTATTTATCGCCACGCGAACTATTGTAAGTTCTCTCTCTCAAGAACGGCCATTTAACTCTTACTATCGAATCTATTGTAAGATATGTATTTCCTAGCGTTACCCATTAAACGGTTGTTATGTTAATCTAGTCTCTGAAAGAATCACTTCCGGTGTGCTATCTCTCATTCCCTCCATCCAGAATCTGATCGCTCCGTTACGCGACCGCTCGCGTGAATTAGTTGGATTTCCATGTCAACCGAGACTCGGTGGTACCAACCTGACAAGGCATCGAGGAGGTGCCGACCCTTCGGTCACCTAATCAATGATGGAAATAGAACCAGATAGAAACTGGCTGCCTATAGGATGGAGGAAAAGTTGAAAATAACTCGTTTAGTATTTGTAAACTACTTTCATTTTTGGTTTTTATAGACATATGAATATAAATATAAAGCTTATCACAGTTTTAGAAGAGAATGACTAATGTTGTTATAGTAAACAATACTTTAATTTCATTATAATTTAATTATTAGAACATAGATACATTATTTTTGCCCATCCAAAAACACAACGTAATTGCTTTGAGAAGTTAATTCATATGAATATTTTAAAGTATGATATAATATTTTGCCATTTTTTAATAATAAAATTTTAAAATAGTGATACATAGTGATTCCTCTAGTAATAATTCTANCGCTTTTCTGTAAAACGTATCCACCGCATAAAACGAGACCTTACAGTACTTTACAAGAGAATGACTAATGTTGTTATACTAAACAATACTTTAATCTCATAATTTAATTATTAGAATGATACATTATTTTATGCCCGTCTATAAATATAATTGTTTTGAGAAGTTAATTTATATGAGTTTTTTTTAAAAATATGATGTAATATTTTATCATGTTTTAAATAAACAATTGTAAAATAATGAGAAGTATAAATTTGAATACATTGAAAAAATTTCAGATAATTTAAATATCAATAATAAATATTTTGGGTAATTGTTGATTAAAGCGGTTTTTTCCAATTATAAAAGGATTCCATATGCAATATTTAATTCTAGATAATATAGTATCTGTGTATGTAACAAAATATTTNGGAGCTAGTTGTAGGCCGCTAATAGAAATACTGGGATAGAACAATAGTAAAAAATATTTCTAAATTATACATATAAACAACAGATCATAAAATTTAGAAAATTACTTCGGATCTCTATCGTAAGATCTTCCGAATAAAGTAGCAAGTAAGAGGCTGTCAGATTCTGTTTTGAAATGTAATTTATGATTCTTGTAAACCCAATTCTTTTTCGGAGCTAGTTGTAGGCCGCTAATAGAAATACTGGGATAGACGTATGGAGTGGTGAAATTAGCTTCTATTTTAAGCTCTTCAAAGACAGTGCTAGCTTTTGTAGGAAAGGTGGAACACTCCTTTCCTTCAAAGGAATCGCAGCGCGCAAGAAAACAAGTTTCTGTCCACCATGTATATCTTTTGGAAGCTGTGTAAGTTCCATTGAAAACTGCCAGATAATAGTCTTCATTCGATAACTGTACTTTATAACTAGCGCTACAGCAAAGACCATTATTACAAGCTTCCACGTGATTTTCTGCATTCACTTTAACTAACGTAAAGTTGCTGAGGTCATAATCGTTGCATCTGAAGTCGTTATTGTTTGATGGGGGTCCTAGTATTTTCCTAGAACATACTCCAGAAGATATATTGTTATCAGATTTTCCTGGTTCGAAATCACCAAATTCAATAATGGTTGGAGGCGGAAATTCTTGAGGTGGTGTAACGCCTCTTTTTGGAACTTTAGAGATCAGTAGTCTGGATTGACCATCTGCGATATAAACGTAATTGCCGATTCCAGTATCTCCAAAAAACATTCCGCTTCCTAAAGATCCATATTGTGGATGTTGCTTGTTAGCTGTTATAATGGTGACGTTGTTTGTGATTCCCCAAGATTGTTGCATCTGAATATCGCTCATTCCTGGTAGAAAGAATTCGAACCACAGAGTTGAAAATATAACAGCATCAGGTTTATATTTTTCAACCATTTGAACTGATTCTTTCCATACAATATCAAAGCAAACAAAAGTACCGATTAAGGCAAAATCAGTAGAAAATACAATAAATTCGGGTTTTGGAAGGACGTTAAGGCCGATTTCGAAATGCAAATGAGTTTTCCTATATCGTGCTATTAATAAACCACTCCTGTTGAAGGCTACATTGGTGTTGTAAAAATAGAATTTATCGTCTGGACAATCAGTAGAATCGTCGCAAGGAACTTTCGACAGAATATTAGCCAAAATAACCAAGTTATTTTGCTTAGCCATGCAACTTAACTTTTCTAAAATATATGAATTGTTGTACCTGTCGGGTTCCAAACAAGGATTCCATTGTTCAATTTTCGGATCGGGAACGTATTGGGCATCGTCAATTATAACTTCTCTTTTCGTGGATGAGAAGAGTCCAAATTCAGGAAAAACCAGTAAGTCGACATTCTGGAATTAAGTATGCTTTAAGTATCAAACAAAAAAAGTAATTATCACATTCTGATTGCACTTACGTGTTCACCAGCTGTCGTTGCAACTTTTTCATAAGCGGCCAAATTTTTTTCAATGTATTCCTTAATCGGATCTGTTTTGTAACCTTTCCTCACGTGTTCGTATACAGCAGCTGTGTAGTAGTCTGGGTCATCAACATCCTGACATTTGACCGCAACTATCAGTAACAGTCCAAACACTACGGAGAACATTGTAAGACTGAAGAACCTGTATGGGAATACATAGATATGATACTTGAAATTTGTAATTTATATTATTAATGGCAGTTTAATAAACAGTGCAGTTGCCTAAGCACCATGAATCAATTAGAGTAATCGAGAAAGAATAAATAAACAAAAAATACAGAAATTATATATTTTTGTATTCGATGTGTTTTTCATTTTCTCACGCTTAATTAATAGTGCTTAAATAAATATTATTTACTGTAAAGTAATTTTTAATTAGTGATTCTGTTTTCACGATGAGCTTCGATTCTGGAGAAAAGAAATTTAAAGCGCGATTTCTCAAGTACTCTCGAGAAATTGAATTTATTAACTAAAAAAATATATTGTTTAGAGCAATGTTTCCCAACCGCTTGTACGCGAAAAAATTTCGCCGGTCCGCAGAAAAATATTTTTATCGTACTCAAGCTGGCGCAGTTGATTTCGGGTAACATTGAAGTAGTAATCTAAAGTTACTGTACGTAACCAAGTACGTACAGTAACTCTAGATAAGCATACATAAGAGTAATAAATAAGCATAATTGATAGTAGCTTATAATTACCGGTTCACATAAAATTATTCATACTTTTAGCGGTTTGCGATCAGTAAAATGGCTGAGAGTTACTGGTTTACAGTATAGTTACATATAGAAAAAGATATATGAAAAATATATTTNTAAAAAAATATATTGTTTAGAGCAGTGTTTCCCCAATCGCTTGTACGCGAAAAAATTTCGCCGGTCCGCAGAAAAATATTTTTATCGTACTGAAGCTGGCGCAGTTGATTTCGGGTAACATTTAAGTAGTAATCTAAAGTAGTAACCAAGTACGTACAGTAACTCTAGATAAGCATACATAAAAGTAATAAATAAGCATAATTGATAGTAGCTTATAATTACCGGTTCACATAAAATTATTCATACTTTTAGCGGTTTGCGATCAGTAAAATGGCTGAGAGTTACTGGTTTACAGTATAGTTACATATTCAAAAAGATATATGAAAAATATATTTCATTATTATATTTTATAGTTAGCTTGGTAAATTTTAATCATTTCATTTTTACTTAAGAAAACAAGAATTCTAAAACGTTCGGGATGTAGTCCGCTTTTTTTCTTGTCACAAATTAAATTAGAATGCTGAAGAGATTCTGTCTCTACACAGTGGTGTAGAGACAGAATCTCTACTGTCTCTACCATAGACCAAAAAAAGGAGAATAAAATAAAATTTGTTCGAACTTCAAAATTTAGCTTTTAAAAAACATTTTTTGCATCAGTTTATCGGACCGTCCTTAATACGTCGTACACGTGTTAATAAAAGGCCCTCATTAATTAATCAAATATTTAAAAGCTTTGACTTTGTTCCCTCTTTGGTTTCTGGATCCGCCACTGAGACTGCACGTATGGAGAGATATTGGAAGTATTCGTAGTATTGAAATTTGTTTTTTGTCAACATAATATTTGACATATCGAATATCGAATTGTTTAAAGTATTCGAGTGTTCTCCCATCTCTTGTTTAACACAATAATTATTGTTGTTATATTATGAAAGCCGCAATATAGAAAGAAGCAGAAGCTATAGCTACACAACAAAAACTTAAACATAATTTATTTTGGGGGTTTGACAAAAGTTTTCTACTAGTTATTTATAATTGCAATTAGAGATGGGCGAATACTACCGGCGAATACTCGATTATAACGTTAAAACATAAATTCGACTTCAGACCAAGACTTCAATATTGGGTCACTCGTAAAGATAGCGCCACATCCGGTGAAGTATCCGAAGAGCCGCTATAATATTCTATTAATATTTTACAAGAAAAGAAGTAGATTAAATTAGGAAAGTATTCGAATGCTTCTTTTCGTAAAGAAAAGTCTGCAGTTGGTGAAAATAAGAACAATATATATTAATCTATTGCAGTTGAAATAAGACCAATGGCTACGAAACTCTGCATTTCACAATTACGTACTTCTAACTTAGATAATATCGTAAATCACAACCCAAAAATATCTACTGAATTTCTATAAATCAATTAATTTCTATCTACAGTGTACTTGCTGATTTACACGTAGCACCGCTATTCGCAAAAAATTAACAAAACAATAAAATATATATACTGTATATAGATAAATAAATGAGAAGAATTAATCATGGAGAAATAAATGAACTATTTAGAACACTTGTCTCTTTTCATAACGTTTCTGAATTTATATACTTTTATTCCCAATAGCGATTTCATAATAATGAATAATATTCTGCAAGTTTTCTACTTTTTTCTACGTAAAGGATGAGGAAAAAATTAAAATATGCAAGTAGCCGTCAAATGATTAATCTTTTTCGCTATCTGGATCTGTGATTGCTGTAGGGAGTGCCATAACTATGAGTTTAATTTTTTCGAAGTAAATAGTAATATTAATGATAATAAATATGCTTTATGTACAGTACATTTATAGTGTTATTTCCTTTTGAAATTACTTTCTAGCGAACTATTTTGACATACTTTCATTTTGCGCATTTATATTGTTAGATTATGCAACGAATTTATTTTTCTCCCAATTCTATAGAAATCGAAATTATGTTATAGGAAATCAAATTAAAATTCATCCCGAATTAAACTAGTTTAAAATTATATAAAAGTGAAACACTTTCCATCTTAATGTTATACGTTTTTAACAGCAATTTTATTCGATCGTCAGAACAAATTTACTTGATTTTCTTTATACATATTTTCAATTAAAAGATATGTTGATACGCTACGTATCTAGTGTTGTTTTCGTTATCGTGTTGCAAATTAGTCTTGAAACTTCTGTAGAAGTAATTACGTAGAGGATACTTTATCTTCACAACAACTAGTTTAGTAAAAATTGACTGAAATCCGAGACGTATGTAAACTTGCTTCGAAGAAATTTTAACGTAATTTTTTAGCTCGTTTATATAATGCATGCGTATATGTAAATTGAAAAAGATCGGCATAATTGCTTCTTTAATGAATTTGGTTTTACCGAAATTAGTCATCTTGTTTTGAGTCGACTGAACTCAAATTGTCTTTCAATTAGCTTCGGTATAATAATAAGTAAGTTTAAGATGCACAAGTCTTCCTAATTTACATTCAGATGTTATATTTAGAAAATGTTTTCATTTCGTTCTGTTGTGTTATAAGCATATAATTGTTGGCAATTAATTAAGTTTGTTGTGTCAATGATCTTTGAGTAAGTTAAAGTGATGATTAAGAAAAGAAATTTGTAATTACTGTACCAAACTTCTCGGTGTTGAATTGAAAAATTTAGTTTTGTTAGCCACATAGGCCTATATCAAAATTTCGAAGTAAAAAACAAAAAGGACAAGGACTACTCTTAAATCCGAATAAATACTGTACTACTATTTTCAAATAAATATTAAGTTAATTTAGAAGTTAATATTAAGTTAATAATCAGATTTAGAAAAATATCTAAATCTGATAAATATTTTATAAGGAATAATTTAACTCTAATATTAATAAAGTATTTGAGCGTGTTAATAGGAATTAATATTCCAGATAATGTAGTATCTAAATTACTGCTTTTTCTTTAAAGTATTCGAGTAATTTACTTAGTAAATATTTTAAATAACATACTTGTCATTATTCTTATATTCTTTGTTTATGTAATTTATAAAATGAATGTAGAGATGAATTATATCGATTATTCTAAAGGTAATCGATTTTTTCAGTTAAAATTTTCATTGATTATAATGAAGAGGAATTCATTAAGTTTTGCCATTTTCACAACTATCATTAAATAAAATACTAGTTTCGTTTTTCCACGAAAATAATTATAGACTTTTCATAGCATATCAGATGAGATATATAAAATTAACGCTAATGACTTGTTGTACGTGTGTTATATATTATTCACGATTGTGTAATAAATAGAAGAAATACACGTTTAGTTTTCATAATTGTAATTTGTATTTACATATTCTTATAACATACTTTTTTCATTCATAAATAAAAGAATAATTAATTCATAATTTACGTTATCTAATGGAAAATGAAAAANTATTTCGTAATTTGTTTTCCGGGATTTTTGTTGTATTTATGATGCCGGAAATATCTGTAATCTTTAAAATTTTATTCTATGTCTACGTTTTTTTTCTTGTTTTTTACAGGAAGGATATTAATTTATTACCGTGATGTAAATCACGGTAATAAATTAATATCCTTCAAGTAAAAACAAATTCATGAAAAGATTACTTTATTGTATTTAAAATGAAACGATCAAATAATCTCTTTCAATAAATTATTTTTAATGTACAAGAATTGCACTATTAGGAAAATAATCCAATTTTGCATGTAACGATGAATGAATATTTAAATAACAGCGATACATTTTTGTTCTATAATAATTAAATGTGAAACTTTCTTATAAAATTTCACAGAATTTAAAGGATATTCGTTTATTTATCTAAATAATTTGATATCAATGAAATGTTTCAAATATCAAAAAGTGTTTATATATAGAACTTTTCACGTGATTTTGTTTAAATAGCGTGCGAATTGGAGAATAATACGAACCGATCCGTNTATTTACATATTCTTATAACATACTTTTTTCATTCATAAATAAAAGAATAATTAATTCATAATTTACGTTATCTAATGGAAAATGAAAAATACCAAAATAAAATTTAAATAAACAAATAAATAAATTCGTTGGACCATGTTACAATTTAATTTGCTGTCTGTATATTAAAATTCCGATTTGTCCATTGACTAACGAACAAATTTATCAAAAGTAATATTTTTATTCGCTGTTCGTTGTATTTATTAAAAGAAATAGCTATGTAAATTTGGAGAAAAAAATTCGGGTTATTTGGTAATATAAAACGATGCCAGTAAAATCCATAATCATTTTTGTCGAAGGAAAATACATAAGATTAGAGATGTTTGTAATAACATATTATAAGGGCGGTGCTACCATGGTAACAGTGACATGTCTCTTCTCATTATTTCGTAATTTGTTTTCTGGGATTTTTGTGTTCTATTTATGATGCCGAAATTATCTGTAATCTTTAAAATTTCATTCTAGGTTTATATAATTTTTTTTCTTGTTTTTTACAGGAAGGATATTAATTTATTACCGTGATTTTCAG